AGGGAAGGGGACTCTCCTTCCAAACGGTAACCAGCTTCCACTTTATCCTCCCCACCTGTAAGCCAAAGATGTCAGTTTGAATGGTGAGTATACTATGACATCAGTTGCTGGTAAACTGGGCACATTTTATAACTTTTTGGTGAATACATGAGGAAAATTATTGGTGTTTCTGATAAACTATGCTCATTATGCCACCCTGTTTTAATTATAAAAAGGTTAGTTAAGGGGTGCTTTGGGAGGTTCAGAACACATTATGGGTATTTCCATTATTTCTTATGGGAAAAATAGTCTTGATTTAACAACCAACTTGAGTCACAGCCCTTGTGAATCAGGTTTGTAAGTCAAGGGTCCACTGTACCTCACATTTAAATTCATACTTCTCCAGAGTGGGGAGAGAGGATGTGATGCCAAGCTTGCAAGACTAAAGCCATGGTCCTCGCCATTCCTGACAGCTTCCTCCTGACAGCTGGCAGCCCGGCACCTACACTGCCCACACTCCTCTTGAGATCATCCTATGAAGAGGCACAAAGAACCCCTAATGGAACACTGTTACATGAGCCATTAGGCAGACCTGGGGTCAACAACAGAGTGGAGATCACCTGAATCCAGGCTGGAGCAGGTGGCACAGAGGGCATACCCACTGGCACAGATGGACCTGTTTCCCCCAGGCCTTTCAGTTATCATCCCCTGGAAACCCGCAGGATGGGGCAGTGGGCAGGTGGTGACCTGTCTCTACACAGCCATGTGCATGTACATCTGCTTTTAAGCACCTCGAAGCATTGCAGCGCAGAAGGTCTCAGCATCTGGTTCTCATTTATGTGCTTGCGTGTTAAGAGCACATATTTTATCTAATATTCATAAAGGAATGTCTGCATGGCACTTTTTCCAGGTAGTTTCAGGAGGTGTGAATCTGAAACAAGATTTTAAATTGGGTATCCAGGCTGACGATGTTTTCTGCGTTCAAGTCACACTTAACTACCGAGAGGAAGAACTGCAATCTGCATCTCCTTTGTAAACAGGCTGAGCAGGGACTGCAGCTAACTTCAACTTGCCTCCAGCCATCCACTTCAGGCATCTCTTTGAAAACAAGGCTTTCATCAAATTTTCCCTCTTATCTTTTTTTTTCATGTCTTCAGGAATATTTCTCATTTTCATCAAGAGTCTCTTCTTGGTAGCGCTAGTATTGTTTAAATATAATACAATGGGTACTAAATATTTAATAATGTATGCTTCATTTGTAAAATGTGTATCTGCTACAGTGCAATTTGGAAAGGAGAGGGGTTACTATCTCAAGATTAAATTAGTTATATTTACCAATAACTGGTGTTTATGTCATAGAACAGGTATCACTTGCTATTTTGCAAAATAATTCATATCTGTTTAATTATTTCTCAGCAGGTGCAACTTCTGCAATTTCTCGATAACACAAGGGCTGAGACAGGTTTATTGTAATTAATACAAATGTTCTCAAACTTATGAAGGATCCACAGCAATTTTCTAAACAATAGTAAATATAATTAATCATGGTAAAATTGACGGTGCTTATATACTAAATTCTGTCAAATATGTTATTGAGATAAATTGTTCCTTAAGAAAAATGTTGAAAATGGAAGAATTTTCATTTTATACAACTATGTTTAATTATACACAGATGAAATATGGTAGAAGTATCTCCCACGCAAGTTACTGTATATTAATTTTGAGAGTTTATGGCCATGTGCCTGTGTATGAAACATTTATTTTATAGATATTTATCTCACATCCTTCCCTTAACATTTCAGCAACAGAACACTGCATCCTCAGAACATATAATTTTGCAATAGGGAAAGTAAAAAGAAATTGCTTTGCCTATGGAACAAAATAAAAATAAATGTGTAGGTCTTATAAATTTTTTAGAGAAGAACTTAAGAGTCCAGGCAAACGCTAAATGGATTAATGCCTATCAATCAAAAACAACCAGTTATTGAACTATGAGAGGTTTATAAGGCCTGATAGCCAAATAAAGCTAAGGGTTATGTGGGTTTTCGTTCAGTACGCTCCGTGCAAAGAGTGTCACGAGCTCGCCTGCATCGGACAGGTTTCACTGTCTCTGTGAGGGGCCACCTTCCAGCAGCTGGCGTTCACCAAAGGCCAGGCCTTCAGGAAAATGATGTTCATCTAACAAGGGACTGTGCATCCCAACAAAATGCCCTGCGCTCCTCAGTCCTGCTCGCCAGGTCTCTGGGCCAGGGGGACAGGATGACACAGACACAGCTGCTTCTAAGAAGCACTGAGGACCTGTAGGACCTGTCCTCCTGTCCTCCCGACTACTGGCGTGTGTGTGAGCCAGTGAACTCGGAGCGCTGTGGGCAGAGGAAACCAGCAAATTCCCACCAGAATGGGCTCCAATGGACAACACTTGGTTCTACCTGGCAAAAATGGCTCATTAGACACAGGCCTCGGCACCGGAGGCAGTTCTTTTCCTTCCCCTCTCTCACTCCCTTTGCTCAACTCACTATCGAGTCTCCTTTTTAGTAGAAGCCTTCCTGGGGGCCCCTGGGAAACAGGGCTAAAAGACCAATTCCTTGCTGACTGGCACTGGTCGGCTCCAATAATGAAACATGCTGGCGACTTGTCAATGATGAGGGGTATGTTTTCACTCTTCTGTCTGGAAACACCACCTCTCAAGTGTAGGCTTCAATTTTGGTGAGAAAACCTGAATGATCCAGAGCTTGAAGAATGTCTACGAAGCCCGACAGTTTGTGCACCTGGCTATTCAGGTCCTGAATGTTACCAGTGTTGTATTTACAGGTACGGTATATTGGCTAGTTTGCTTCACGGAGAACATAGTCTTTATTTCAGAAAAAGCAAATCCAGCAGAAGCAGCAGCAGCACATGCTGTGAGGACAACCCTTTAAGATCACGTGCAGCACATACTCGTGTAAAATCTGACAGCATTTAGGGAAGTTAGTCTAAAGTTGTATCAAGGCCGTATGTTACCCGGGGCAACCTCCTCCAATGCATAATTTATAACGGAGCCTCAGTGCCTACCTGAGAGACCTAGGTAGAAAAATGAGCTAATCCAGTAGAAACAGAACCTTGGAGGATTAGCTGGCATTTAGCTAAGGCCACAAGGGCCAAGCGTCTTATGAGCTTCAGGCGATTCTCATAGACAGCCAGCCAGATGACCCAAGATCCAACATATTCCCATCGTTTACAGTAAATCTCCCTGAAAATTTTGGTTTGAATACACAGGCACAGAAAAGGCTGCTTGGTTATGTTACAAAAAGAAAAACCAAAAACCACCATTTCAAGCCAAAAAATTAGGAATCTACATAAACATGAGATGGGGAACAGATAAAGAATGAAAGAATTACCAGGAATGAAACAGCATGTGAAGAAAGAAAGAGTTAAAAATGAAGACAGCAATTAAGTAATAGGTAAAAAGAAAGAAGATAGCAACCAAGACATAAAATGATGAGGGCCCAAGACCAGGCGTGGACACAGGTGTGACCAACGACACTGTCCCAGAGCCTACAGGGAACAAACATCAATGGAGCAAAAAGCAAGGAAGGGACACGTGTACGCACGTGCGGCGGCACATTCTCCCTCCCCTTACGTGTCACTGTCACTCGAGGTGCTCCCTTCCTTCCCAGCATTCCGCTCCCTCTCTCTACAGTAGCTCCAAGTGACTTCATCCTAATCCACAGCTTCAGACCCAGAAATGCAGATTTTCAAAGCGACTACTCCCAGTCCACACCGGCTCAGCCAACGGTCAGGAGCAGCTCCACTTAATGGAAGCCTGAACCTAGCTCGAGCAGAACCAGAACTCTCCATCTTAACCCCAAACTATGTCCTGTTCCTCCTCAGCTGTCCACCTTGTTAGGCAGCGATGTGTCCACCTTCCAAACCAAGCATGAGGTTCCATGTTCTGGCCAGGTGGCTCCTCAAATGTACCTCCTAGATAGTTCTCAAATTGCTCCTCCTTCATTGAACTCCTCTTCCTGACCACAGCTGTTTCCCTCCCCACCTGGTTCAACTTTCTAAGAATCAGACTGCGCCATCCCCTGCAGAAAGGTCGTCAGGACTCAGCCTACCTCCTTCCGTGACCAGACATGACTCCCAGGACCAACCTCTGTCTGCCCACATCTCCCACCTCCTCCCTTCCTCCGAGCCCTCATTCTACTCCCTTTAATAATAATAATACTCAATACTACTACTCCCTTTAATAATAATAATACTCAATTATTCTTAAATTCCAGAGAAGAGCATCAAGACCCATGCATTTCCTCTAGGGAAATGTATCACTTCTCACCATCTGTATTTAGGTCAGTCATTTCCCTATGAATTGAAGCTTTTGTGGCTAAGTATAGTTTTTCCAGGTACAGAAGATAGGAACAATAATTATTGCCAGATCTATGTATTTCTTTGCCAAGGTGACCCTTTGGCTGGGGGCCCATGTGATAACCTTCAGTGGCTTGGGGACTTGTTCCCATACAGACCGGCACTGCCTTGCCTTCTCTTCTGGCTCTGTTACTGAATTTCTCTTTTTCATGGGATGTTGTGCTCATTAACTGAATGTCTGGCTTGGTGCCTGCCCATAACATGGGCTCAATACATTCTGTCAGCACCATCATCTTCAATATAGCAAGAAAGTCTCCTCATGTTCTCAAGAACATCAAATACGATACCATATATGTCCTGGGGACTAATGATTTCCTGCCGAGTAAGTGGCTTCTAAGGCTCTCTAGAGCTTCATGTACCACCATTTGGGAAGACACCTCACTCTTGTATCATTCTGGCAGGTCATTCTTTGTATATTCCTACAAAACCATAGCCACTGACTCTATATTTCTGACCCATAACCTTCAATACTACTTGATGAAAAATATTAATGAGGACAGAGTCACAGATATGCCTCAACCCTCAATGCCAACTCAGTAACTGAGTATCACCGTGTGCATGAAGCGGCCTGGCGGACAGTGGGCATAACTGCACGCTGGCAATGCCCAGGTACTCACCTCTTCTTCATTACCAACACAATTCCAAGGAAGAGAATGACGAACAGCAAGATGCCAGCGATGACTCCCGCGATCTTAACAGTGTGGTCTGTTTGTTTCTCAGGCTCCGGGACAGGTTTTGGAGTGGCAGCACCTGAAGATGAAAGGACATGAAAAGGGACAGAGAGTGGGTAGGTGAATAAAGACATTACATTTTTAAAAATTTTGCTGCAGTGAACAGGGTAATAAGACTTATCAGAACCAACAGACAGACAAGCTTTGATTTTTTAAAACAGCTTTCATACACACTGAAAGGACTGTAATTGTTCATGCTGTTCTTCAATATTTTACTAAACCACAGCACACCCACGTCTGACCCTTTTATAGGAGACTCTTCTCAAATACAGCTTTTAAATATTTTTATCATCTCTCTTAGCTCCTGCTCTTTCTTCCATTTAAAAAGTTGCTAGCAACACAATAGCTATTCCTAAGCCTTTATCCAAATTTGATTTGCTGGAACATTTTCCTCAATTATTTTTTATAAATGAAGCAATAATTCCATAACATATTAGCCCAAACACCTGGAAAAGTGAGATAAGCTCATTTCCCATGCATTTTAGCAGCAATTGTTTTTCTTTTTTCTTTTTCCTCTAACACAGTAGAGGCTTTTCCCTTTGCCTTTGGAAATCAAAATCTAGGTCACATCTGGCAGGCAAAAGACTCCTTCTAAGCAATTTATTCACAAAGTGGGAAGCAGCTGGTGATCACACCGCTGGCACCCACGTTCAATATCTGTTTAAATGAGATAACCTGGGCCTTCGAGTGGCGGCCATGTCTCCGTTCGCATGCCCGCCCATGCCCAGCACACCGCAGCCCTGCGTACGGTATAATGTGATGGAATGTCAAATCTGGGTCTGATGATACATCCATTTCCTCTGCTAAATGAGTCCAGGATGAAAAATATTAGGACTGCAATGTTCAATTCTCTAAACAGAACCCATTTTTAAGGTCTTCTCCCTCTCTCATCAGGACGTGATGGTGTTGGCCATCTGAGCCCTCAGCCCCCCTCGAGGGGTACACAATAATCTCACGTCTGAATTCTCACCTTAGGGATTTCTGTGTCTTTTTTTCTTGGTAAAAACATCATTCAGACTCAACATTCACGCCAGCTCTTTCTGTCCTTCCATTGGGCTTTCGGCCTGTGTCCCTCTCTCTCTGTGTGCCCACAGCACCCTAAACGAGCCATTGCCAAGAAATGGGGAAAGTCAGGCTGTCACTGTCCCTTCCCGTCACCTTGGTTTCTACCGCAGCTGCGCATTCCAAGAAAAGGGACAGTCACAACATCCGGGGGGATAAACATCTCGTGGGTAAACCTTACAGGCCATTTCTATTTCTGACAACAGCAAGAGGATGTCCTGCTGTTTAGTTTTATAAATATCTCTCAAACTAGCTGTCTAGTTGAATGTTGAAAGCATTAGTGTCACTTATTTTTATGGTAATCACACCTGCAATAAACCCCCACAAGCTTCTGGAACACAGAACCACCAGTCCACCAGGAGGAAACTGTTACGCTCTATTATAACTGCTGAGAAAAACCTAAAGACAAAATGCGCATGTGATAAAAAGATGAATGAAAATTATTTCAGCAAAGAGGAACCCACGCAAAAAGAAGTTCACATTTCAAATTCGGAAACTGAAAAAGCCCAGCGTTTCTCAATTTTGATTTTGGGGCCAATTTAAAAGACATAACTTTTAGAAAATAAAGTGGATTTTATTCTTCCAAATGCTGACAACTTGGAAGCCATTTCATTTATCTCCTTAGTTAGAGACTGATTATTCTTCAAATCTATTTTCTAAGTAGATAAATGACTGAAGGCTGTTTTGTGGGTAACAAAATTACATTAGCTGGGAAAGAAACTGTTTAGAAAAATTTTAAGTAAAAATTGAAACTAAAAAATGCCATACTACAACCCATGCGCTGTGTACAGAAAGAGAACAGCATGTCTCGCTGACAGTGCTGCGCCTGCTCCTGCTAACTAAATGCTCATTTCCTTCCCCCGGCACTTTCCTGGCTCTGGGAGAACCGAGAACGGCTCTGCTACCGTGAGGTAAGCACTGGTGGTCACCCGCACCCTCTGTCCGCTTTGGGAGGCAGGCAGCACATTCCCATGCAGCCTGCGTGAGCTCGGTATTATCATTCCTCAGGACTCACTTTTAACTCATTTCCCACTGCAGGTCAAGAAAATGAAACGTTCTCTCCGAGTGACACAGCTGAGACGTGATTATGGTAGCAATCATGCAAAATGGGACAGCGACTCAAACCAGGCGGGACGGCTTGCCCGTGACCAACCCTCCGCTTGGCTCGGGTGCTCAGGTTTATTAGGGCTTCTCTGGAGGAGCAGGGACATAGCACGGGTCTGGGTGACAGAAGCCACACGCCCAGACCGTGGGCGATGGGCACCGCGGGCCTGGGCTCCCTGGGGTCCTCTGCTCCCACCTTGACTCTTGTCCTTCCCGAACCAGCATCGACACAACAGCCTCCCTTCTCCTGCTGACACTTCTCCAGAAATCCAAGCCTGCGCTTAGGAGATGTCCCCGGGCGTAGTACAGAGGACAATCTGCAACTGACTATGGCTGTAACTCAGCGCCGTTTTCTTTTCCCTCACCCCCATCTATGATTCTACAGTACAATTTACAAACCGCTTGGCCAGAGTTGTTCTCGTAATATTCTCCCCTCTGTCTTGTTTGTTTCTTGCCAGATCTCTAATGGTGCGAACTTTTACACTTGCTTTTCCTTCTGCATAAATTCTAACTTTTCACAGTAAGGCCATTTTTTTCTCCTTGTGTGCACTGTTTCAAGAATACTGCACACTTTGTTCTTTCTAACATTAAACTGTGTGATGTGCACATGTGACCGTGGGCACTGTCTATGCTGGGGCACCTTCTCTACAGGGATAGGAACCCTCCCTGTCACGAAGAGACTGAGGCCATGGCACTGAGATCGCGGTGTGTGGTCCTCATGGACGCTCAATCCGCTGACTTCCACTGTGAGCTCAGGTGATTTAGTTTTAATGACCAAGGCAAAAAAGGGCGGTATTCCCACCAAACTCCAGTATTTAAAGTTTCACATCCAACATCTCCCTTCAGAAGGAAGGGAATAATTATGCAGTGTGCTTTATGGCTGGTTTGCAACTTGGCAACTTGTTAAATTAAATGCCAAGCCAAGGACAGGATGTATTCAGCCACTGGCCAGAGGTCTGGACCAACTTTGACTACTGAACTGGCCACAGAGATGTCCCCAGAGACCCGAGGGGACAGCCAGAGGCCACAAAAGCCGTTGCTGGTGCCCAGAGTCCTGGAGAGCATGGGCAGCTTCACAGGGTCGGGGAGGGATCAGGGAGTTGGCCTCCCAAACACTGCCAAGGTGAAGCTCTCTGAAATGGTGACCGGTGCCAGGCTGACCTGGAATGCCAAGAAAACATCTGCGATAGTCGTTCACTCAACACATGCTCCCTGGGCACCCAGCTGTGTGCCCTGCACTGTTTCCACAACATAGCAGGGAGCGCTTGTTCCAAACTGACGCCTCCACCTCCAGGCACACATCCGGGAAACAGGAAGAGCTGAGAGAGAGATCTGTGAGGCCGAGCGCTGGCGGGCCTGGCCTGCAGAGAGCTGGGAAAGGGTGGGGCACAAGGTTGGATCGATCCCCTCTGCAAAGAGGGTGGGAAGTGCTGTTCACTGTTTGAGATGGGAGCTTTGGGCAGACCGGGGCAAAGAAGGGATGTGATCCGGCTGGCACTGAACAGGATCACCCAGCAGCAGGGAGCACGCAGACTGCAGAGGGCGCGGCATGGAAACAGGGATGCTGGTCACAAGGCTGTCATAGCAGTGCAAGCAGTGCTGCAGGGCTGGAAGGAGGTGGTTGGTCCTGACAGTGGAACCACAGGTATTCACCACCAGGCCTGATGTGCAGTGTCAGTGTCCATGTTTCTGGCAGGGGCTGCTGGAGAGGCAGAGCATGGAAGGCTTGGAGGGGAAAGCCAGAAGCTTGGTTTGGGACCATGTGGGTTGAGCTACGCACATCCAAAGGAGATCAAGTAGGCAGCCGGACAGGCAGGAGAGAGGTCCGGGACTGGGCAATGCATTTCAGGGATGTCAGTGCACTGCGGTACACACCTGCAGGACCAGGCAGGAGAGTCACAAGTTCCAGCCAGCTCGGGCCATTTAGTGACCTGGTGAAAACGAATCTGACAGTTTATTTTTAGTTTTTTCATTTTTTTTCCAGTACTGGGACTCGAACTCACGACCTTGCGCTTGCCAGGCAGGTGCTTATGCCGCTGAGCTAGATCCCCAGCCCGGAATCTCACAATTAAAAAAAGGGCCAGGCAGTCGCTTAGTGGGAAGGCTCTGGGTTCAATCCCCAAAATAAAAAACAACAACAAAAAAGAAGCAGATGGAAAAGCTGTGACCTGCACTTAGGAAGGGAACACAAAGGTGGGAGGCAGGACCAGGAGGAGGGGCCAGAGAGCAGCAGGGACGAGGAGGTCGAGGTCGAGGTCGAGGTCAAGGTCAGCACAGACAAAGAAAGGCTCCTTGAAGAGTGGCTGGAGAGGACCCTGGGGGTCAGGAGGCCCTTTTCAAGCAGGAGAAACCATGGCATCAGTGCAGACAAGAACGGTCGGGTAGAACGTGGAGGGGATGAGGCGGGGGAGGCCCTGGGAGGGTAGGGACGGTGGACGGGGCTCCAGGACCCTCGCCACTCATAACAGATGAAGACGGGCAAGAGGAGGAGCAAAGGCAGAGGGTGGCCACTCTGACCCAAGGTGGGAGGGAGTGTACGGGCCCCAAGACGGGCACAAGGTGGCCCCTGGACATACATGGAGCACGGCGCGGCGATCCTGTTCCCACGGCACAGCCTTCATAGGGCTCCGCCGCACCAAGTCCTCTGAGGCTCTGCTGCTGCACAGGGAGCAGAGAGGAGGCAGGAGACCGGCCCTCCTGCTGCATGAGCCTCCACCGAAAGCAGCCCAGGAGCCTGGTGAGTGCACAGGGAGTGGCCAAGGCTGTGGGAGGACCGCAGATGGGCACGCTCCAAGGTCAGCCGCCAGCCCCACTCCCCTGGGACCCAGGCGCTGAGTGGGGCTGGGCTGGATG